TGATGTACTTGTGTGTGTGAAGTTTGAACTCGATCAATCCAGGCGTGTCTCAGATACGGATCCAGAACTGAATTCTTTAAAACAAAATGGCCACCAGTCGGCCATTTTGAACTTGATCCGGAAAAAAAACGACGTGCATCAAGGTCCTATTATGTTTAATGTATGTACCAAATTTGAACAAAATCCGTCCATGCATAACTGAGATCCGGGTCCGGAATGGTGAAAATGTGCGAATTTGATGCATTTTCGGCATTAAAATGGCCGCTATTCGGCTATCGTTAATCAGATCATGAAAAAAATGCATGTGCATATGTCCCATATAATGTGTGATGTATGAGTGAAGTTTGAACTTAATCGGTCCATGCATGTTCGAGATACAGGTGATCACGGACGCACAGATGCACGGACGCACGGACGCACACAGGGCAAAACACAAGTCCCCGTTTTCGGACTACGTCCGAACGGGGACTAAAAATCAAAGAAAACAGGGAACTATAATACAGGAAGAGAAACATGAGTGATTAGTCCAACACCAGGCATTCACCTCGATCAATACAGTATTACCCACAATGCACTATTCCCATAAGCGTGGGTGTGTGTAAGTTCGTAGCCAAGCGTACTGCGGTCAAAAACAAGGTAAGAAATTACGTAACGAGACCATCCCAATTTGCCGATGATTTCCAGGTTCGGGTGCGTTTCATACAAGAAGATCGATACTCACTACACCGCCGAGTGTAGTAGACATAATGCCGATGGCAATAGGAAGTTTGAAGGAAGCTAATAGAGTTGATTTATAACAGACGAAGTAAATGGAAATCACTTTTCAGTCCTCATTGAGGCACAAACGTAAATGAGTTGGTAAACAAGAGACGATGGCAACTCAACGCTGTGGCAGATTAACACTACTACAGTTCGACTAAAGTTTACAAACACCACGGTCAGCCACACAAAGTCCCCCAAATACAAAAGTGATTTTTAAATGCGTTGATGACGACTCCACGATATAATGCAGCGTGAAAATGGCAATTTAAATTTTCCTTGCAGATTTTCCCGGGGCAGATTTACATAATACTACTGTTTGATAACACGGCCAGTCACACAAAGTCCGTCAAAAGGGAACTGAAGTTGTATAATGCCAAAACAGTACCATGATTTCACAACTTTCGAAATATGTTAGCTTTTATCGATGTCCACTGCACACAAGTAAATGTCTTTCCGTTTGCAAGAACACAAGCCTAAACTATCAGAGATTCGTAACACATAATTCGAGTGGTGGTATAACAAAATAACTCATCATTTGTAAATTCAATCCATCGAAAAAGTATAAAAAACATTTTCATAAACAATTTTTATTATATAAATACACTTTGAAAAGAAACAAGATTCATAAACATAAATCTATTTGAATACATTCTCACTACAAATTACACAATACTTATTTTCTAATAGTTTCTTCACAGCACAAACTATTGGAATCATGCACACGTGTGAGTACTTCGGTGACACATTTTATAGCTACGCCCAAAATAGTCCATCATTTATTGCGCAACTGTGACCAAACGACATCATTCTGTTAACATCCACACATTTTCATTAAATCTCCATGCACTTTTTGACCTTTCATAAGTAAAATACACTACAATTTACTCCAGAAAAACAATTTTCTTGGTACATTCCTACATTCTTGCATACTAATGAGGGGTTCAGACACATTCCAAGCTGAACAATTTTCTTGAACTAATAACAATGCTAGTCAATCCTTTCCCAGCAATAACAAACAACGGTGCCAGAGAGGGCGCCATTCACCTTTGACAATAGATGACAAGTTTCAAGTTTCTGGGCATGGTTGCTTTCATGTTTGCCACATTAGTGAACGTGTTAGCATTTTGGGCATTGATTTCAAAACCAATCAATCAGGAACTGATTTTCCTAAGTTTTTTGCAAGTCAAATATGCTTGTATGTTGTCCCTCAGAAATATTATAAATATTTATAAAGGTAGTAATAGATATCATAAATATATATGAATGATATTTTGTGCTATGAGTGTATGAATGTAAAACATGTTTTCTATACTTTGTGTGCAAGCTAGCTAATACCGTAAAATTCCTTTTTGAGGCCGCGGCTTAATTCATTTTTTCAATGGACGAATTCAGATGCGTGAAGTCTTGGTGCGGCGTTAATTAGAGCATTCACTTCGGTAACAGTTGGAATTTTTTTCAGAAAACAAAGGCCAGAAGGGATAATGATATGCTAATGAGATGCATGACACTCAATTGCAACTTTGTTGCGATTCTAAGGCACTTTCGAATTTTTACACGCAGACAAACTTGTACACAAACGAAATTTCACACTGTATAACATACTGCACAATAAATAATATCTACAAATAGATTTGTATGCATTTGCAGATTACGGTACTGTATACTACAATCTCTTGAATAGACTAATTCGTTAGCACCGGTCACTCTTTTAGTAACCGTGCAGACAGCCGTCTGACTCAGTCGATTGCGGCATGTTCGACTCCGGCAGAGTGA